GTTATTAGGAAAACCAGAAATCTTGTTTTATTGTGAGGAGTCTAGAGTTATGTGATTATTGGGACTATGAGCAAACTAAACTTCTGAAGATTTTGGGAAAAGTAGTTCTTTCTTGTTGAATGTTTATCAAGTCATTTATTGTTTCATATATTTTTTCTTTTTCCTGTAGGTTTTCTTTCATGAAATTGGTAGAGGCAGACACTGGTGAACATGACTTCTTCTCATGGCATGTTATAGACTTCTCTTTCTATGCAACTGGTAACTTAGTATCAACATTTTATGTACTTGTGCTGAAGCTGCCTTCCTGATGTTGTTTTTGTTTTATCTGGTTTCTTAGTTTTGTGTCAGAAGGCTAAAAACTTCGAATCAGAGGAATCACAGAGGAGAAGATTCAATCAAGAGTATTTTTCTGGTCTAGGGCAACTATTGCATGATGTTTATGCGATTCTACTTCCAAGACCAAATGATTATAAAAACCGGGATCATCTCATAGGATTTCTTGATGCATTAGCGAAGGAGAAGATTCCTAGTATGCCTTTAGTATTTCTCTACTTAACTTTGTTTTTCCTTTGCATGCCAATAACATTGTGGTTTCCTGTTGTCCAATTAATTATCGAAAGATGAAAAGAATGATGTTTCCTATCCTTGTCCTCTTGGAGTCTACCGTCCCTGCTTCAAAGACTTTTTTTTATTTGACTATTCTTATATTGCTCCTGGCTTTATTTTCTTCCTTAATTTGTTAATTAGAATTGCCATCAATTCAAGCCTTATCCCAATTATTTACAAGAAATATTTAGGTGTATTATTCCAAAATAATACATCTAAAAAAGGGCAATGGGGTTGGCCCAAAAGGATATGGTTGGAAGTAGTGAGAAAAAATATGGGGACTTATGGCCTCACTGAGGGTATGGTCCTTGATAGTGCAGAATGGTGGACTAGGATTCATGTAGCCGTCCCCAAATAGTTGGAAAAAGGCTCTGTTGGTGATGGTGATGATGATAGTTTGATGTCATTTTGCTTGTTAGATATTGTTGTCTCATACATGTCCACTTTAAAATTGTTCCTTACCTTGAGTATGCATGCAAGTTATTTAAGGGATTTCTGTTTGTTCTTTCGTTCTTGTGCTTTTTTACATATATCATGTTATTGAGTTATTCTTCTCTTTTTTTAATTAAGGCAATGATGTCGTGCAAAATGTATTATGTCATTTTGCTGCTTTATATTCCCCAATTTGAGAAAATATAATATGGATCATCATCATCATCATTTTAGCCTTTTCCTAATTAATTGGGGTCGGCTAAAATATAGTATGGATGAAAAAGTGAAAAAATATCCCAATTAGTATGGATGAAAAACTGAAAGATATCGTAGCTCTTCTTGAGCTTATCCACCTCCCCTCTCTCTGTAACATGTTATTGGATAGTGTTAAACGCTATTAGAGATGAAGAAAAACTGGCCATTGATTATGGATGTATCATGTCTTTTCTACTTATCATTATTTTGAATGTCTCACAACATGGGTGGTAACCAAAGTTTTTCTGTTGGCACTTACAATTCACATTCAGCTTTTATCTGCAAGGGTTGATTTTCAAAAGTCAATGGATTTTTGGAAGCTTGCATAAGGAACTTTTGGGAGCATTCATATTATTAGGAAATGTTAGCTTCTATCTTCCATTCTATGCTATCTACAAATTTTAAAACCTTTCCTCCCACGAACATTTCATCAAATATGGCTTATATAAGTGGTGCACTAATCCCGCCAGATTCGATTTGCTCATTTAGGGCATGTTGTCATCATGATATTAAGTTGGAAAACCAGCCCTTGATGAGAGCACTTTAGTTTGTCTTCTCAAACAAAATGATTTTTATTCATTTGATTCCATTGAGCTATTTTATGATTTGCTTATCTAAATCGTGTAGCCTTTTAATTCCTAGTGTTTCCATATGAAAGAAGTTTTGTCATGCAAATGAGAATCCTTTCTTCACCCAAGCTCTTGATTCCAATCATCAATGACCTTGCACTCTGGAAATCTAACTATCATTTATATTTGCAACATTTTTTTTACGAAGTATATCGCTTCTGTTGAGTATAGTAAGTTTTACATAAATTTGCAACATTTCCAGACTTTGGTTTTATAGGATATATCTCAGAATTATTTGAAAACCATTTGCCTTTGAAATGTCCAACATCCAAAGAAAAGGGGATTAACAACATATGATTGATATGAGTTAGTTTTACTTCATCCACAAGCTAAACTAACTCATATCAATCATATGTTGTTATCACCAATATAGCCATATCAACATGACAGTTGTGGGAATTTAAATCTGTTTCAGATCAAGACTAAAATATCACATGTAGTGGGCATTCCTTCTCAAATAATGTTTACTGCATTGAAAAGATTAGTGAGATAAAGATGAGAAGACTGGAGTTTTTGGTTTAGGGTTTCCAAGATCTGTATGTAAGGTACAGCAGTAACTCACTCTTACGGCGGGGCTATTAGGAGGCAATATATGAACACTGTAAGACCTCCACAAGCTTTTGGAGAAGGAACACAAAAGGAAGGAGAAGTGAGGAAAATGCCCCAATGGGGACACATTCATAATATTTCATATATAAGAGTTACATACTTTAGGGCATTAAGTGAACTTCCAATTATACCCCTAATACATTTACAGAAATTATAGAATTGCAAAAATTATAAAAATTACCCCTAAACATATAGAAAATTATATAAATACTCTCAGAGGGTGAAAAGGGTTAATATTCCCCCTCAAGCTCTACTTCCGTCCTGATCATGGACAACTTGCCCTTCATGTATCTAAGTCATTCTATAGTGAGTGCTTCATTAAATATGTCGGCAACTTGATCCTTAGTTCTGATGAATCTTCCTTCAGTATCCTTATCCTTAATCTTTTCTCTAATGAAATAATGATCAACCTGAATGTGCTTTGTTCTACCATACAATACTGGATTCATCAATATGGCCAGTGCACTTTGATTGTCACATTAGAGAATGCTGCTACACAACTTTTGACCAAGGGCATTTGCAATACTCCTTATCCAAGTCTCCTCAGCAGTTACAACTGCCATCGCTCTATATTATGCTTTTGAACTTGATCTAATCACAATCTTCTGCTTTTCTGCTGCATGAAGAGCTAAAATTATTCCCAACAAATGCACGGTACCTAGTAACTGTTTTTCTTTTAGTGCGATATCCTGCCCAATCAGCATCTAAAAAGGCAAGAATAACATAATCATCTTTGGATCATTTTTCTAATACACTAGCTCATCATTTGGTGTTGCCTTTTGTATATCTTAAATTCTTAATATTCTCTTGTTTGCTTCCATTTGTTCAAACCTCAGACCATGAATGAATTTGCTAAACTGATTGACTGCCTAATTTATATCAGGTCTTGTAAACATAGATACTGTAAAGCTCCCACTGTGCTGCGGTATTCATGTGCTTTCACAATCAAGCTTCCAAAATCTTCGTAATTTCCAAGTCTTCTATTCAACATGAGAGGTGTGGCTATTGGATTGGCATCAAGCATATTGGTCCTTTCCAACAAATCCATCATGCATTTATGCTAACGCAACATCAACCTATCTTTCTTGCAACCTCAATCCCTAGAAACTATTGCAGCCTTCCCAAGCTTATTTTTGTTAGGCTTTCATTGCAGCTTCTTGTGAGTACAATATCATGTACACAAAGAAGTATCATAATGTTTTCACCATCATGCTTAATGAACAATGAGTACTCAATTGCCCTTTGGATTAAACCATGATTCTTGCAACTCCACAAAAACCATCAAACCAAGCTTTTGATACTTGTTTTAGACCATATGTCGCCCTGTTCAACTTGCAAACCATGAGGCTAGGTTCTCCTTCAGAAAATCTCTAATGCTGCACCATATAGATTTCTTCTGTAAGGTCTCCATGTAAAAATACATTGTGGACATCCATCTGTGTTAGTTCCCAACTGTATGTGGTGGAGGGCAAAGTTATTCTTATTTTTAATTTCTATTCTTATTTTTAAGAGTTTAAGTTTTTTTTATGATTCTAGGGTTTTCTTATGTTTTCTTTTTTTACTATTTGCAATTTATGGTACTGTTCACTATTATTGTTCACAGAGGTATTTCTGAAATTTTATTCTTATTTTTAATTGCTATTCTTATTTTTAAGATTTTAAGTTTTTTTTTGGATTCGAGGGTTTCTTATATTTTCTTTATTTATTATTCGCAATTTATGGTACTGTTCACTATTATTGTACTCAGAGGTATTTCTGAAATTTTAGTATTGTTTTAGGGGTATTTTAGAGTCTTAAATGTTTATTTATTTTTTTTTAGAAGGTTAACCTGTTTTATTTGGATCTCCAGTTCAATTAGGGTTTCATAGGTTTAAAAGGTTAGATGTCATATTTTGGGAGGCATATGTTATTGGAATAAGTTTTATTTTTATGGAAGAAAGTTTTACTTCTTTTAGCTTGATTTACAACCATATTCTTTCTCCAATATTGCTGATTTTACTTGTTTAAGGTTCAATAAAAGGGTGGATTTGATTTCCTACCTTTCCTTCCTGCATCAAGTGGTATTAGAGCATCGTTCGAGGAAGGTTGGAAATTGCGTTGGCTTGTCGTAGAGGTCTTAGCTGTAGGAATGCCAATCTGATCCAACAGCATGAGGTAATCAACAACTTGATGGAGAGGGTTATAAAACTATTGCTGCATAAGCAGGGCCAGCAACAACGTACCCTTAATGAAGAGGAAACTACGAGGATAGATCCAAATCGTGAGGGTTTCGATTAAGAATGACGCGAATCAGAGTCCGACTCAGAATTAGAGTGGAATGATGAAGCTGCCTTCAACCACCCATTCTATGAACGCACTCCACGTGGGGACCGTCATTGTTTAGGGGACTAAATCATAAGATTTAATTGATCTACATGATTTGAAGGAGAACGAGGTTGATTTTGGTGTAGGTCATATAAAAAATCAGTAGGTTGTAGATTGAGATATGTCACCAATTTTGATACATACTTAGATGATGAACAAAATCTTGTAAGAGTTCCAATATATGATAGAAATTAAGATGATGATGATGAAATTTTGGAACATGTTAAAGATTATGAAGAAAAGGCTGTAGGAAGTCTGATCCAAATCATGGCCTTTGAAGTTCTTATTAATATCGAAGAGATAGAGCGTCAAGGAAATTTAGGGTATTGGAATCAGAGTAGCATAGATGAAACTTGGTCAACTCATAAACTGCAAATTGTGGTTTTGTTTTCATCAAATAATGAAATAGATGTTGAGAAAACCTCTAAAGGCCAGAAAATTAAGTTTGGAATATCTTACATGATTTTTAATGGGAGTTCAAGAATGGCTGAATGTAATAAATTTGTATTGATTCCTCAATATACATATCAAGATCCATTTCTTGAGGAATTATTTTTACCACAAAGAGTATTTGAGCCAACAAAGAAGATGAAGGTTGAAGAATGTAATTTTGATGCTGAATTCATCTTAGCGC